TAGCCACCTTAGCCTAGCTTAGAGAGGAAAATCCCCCTTCCAAGGGAGACTCAATCGAGTTGGTTTTCCTTCTGCTTTCTAAGCCACTTAACTAGGTTAAGTTAGGGTAACCCTCAATGCTGACTTAAGCAAATCGGTTAATCGCGATCAACCTGTCTGACCTTTTAGTTGAGTGAGGGAGTAAGTCAGCTACCGATTGTCTAAACCGAGAGGGTCGAGTGACACGGCCTTTAATGCTAACCTCGGTTTAGCAATTGAGATTGTGGTCTCCGACCATATATGCATCCCTCTGCGGTTCACGGTTACCTTGCCCATAGCAATCGTTCCAATCCAACGAGTCTTGGTAGCTAGTTAGGGGGAAGCAACTCATGGGTGAAGCTCCCTTACTTTGAATTTTCCTTTATTGCTTGTTTAGTTTGTAGTTTTCTTAGTTTGAAAACCCAAAACCGTTTTGCTAGATAACAACTTAAGCGATTGAAGTAGGGGTACATGGACCGGCCCGATTCGATATTTAAATACTTGCTCTATACTGCACCCAACTAGAGTTTAAAAACTTGGGCTCTAGTCGGGATTAAATTGTGGTGTAGTTTCGTGCGAGTCAGACAACCACCCCAAACGACATCACAATAAGCTGTAAACTGAAGGGAGTCACCGGTGGGGAAGAAGAGACCTTGGCTTGGCGAAGTCTTGTGATAACGAAGAACCCGGTGTGCTGCAGCAACATGATCAGGCCCAGGGGAGTGAACAAACCGAATGAGGATGTTAACGACATAAGTGATGTCAGGTCGGGTAACAGTGAGATAAAAAAGCCAACCCACGAGGCGACGATAGGAGGAGACATCAATCACAGTATAATCGTCGGGACGAGGGCGCGTGATAATATGGTCTGCTCTATGGGGAACGTCTGTGGCGAGAATTAGCAACTGCAACATCTTTGATGATATCCAGATTATACTTTCGTTAAGAGAGAACAACTGCTTCCGGAGAGCGAGCTACCTCAATGCTCAAGAAGTACTTAAGTGGTCCAAGATCTTTAATACTGAAGTGATCATGAAAAAAAGACTTAACCTATGCAATCAAACGAGGATCATTACCCATAAGAACCACATCATCAACATAAACAAGCGCGGCCACAAAACGCCACGACGATGACATGTGAGGAGAGAGGGATCAACATGGGAGAAAAAAAAATCGAGTTCAGCCATAGCAGAAGTGAACTTGGTGTACCAGTTCCGCAATGCTTGACATAGGCCATAAAGAGATTTGCGTAAGCGGCAAACCCGAGTATCACCTTTCTCCTCAAAACCCTCAGGAAACTTCATGTAAACCTCTTCATGGAGTTCACCATGGAGAAAAGCATTATTCATGTCCAGCTGGTGCATCGGCTAGCCACGGGCAACAACAACTGCAATGAGGACGCCGACTGTAACAAGCTTCACGATAGGGGCGAATGTTTCATGAAAATCAACGCTGGCCAACTGAGTGAACCCCTTGGCAACTAACCGTGCCTTATAGCGTTCCACAGAGCTATCAGGATTATACTTGATCTTAAAGATCCACCTTGAGTCAATGGCCTTCTTCCTAGAGGGTAACACTTCTAGTGTCCACGTACCATTAGCCTCGAGAGCCAGAATTTCTTTTATCATCGCTTTCCATCAGCAGGCAAAACGAACCACCGACTTGTAGGTTTTGGTTCAACAATTTGAGTGATAGCTGCCAAAAAGGCTCGATGATGAGAAGAGAATCGATGATAGCTGACTTAGTGAGCAATGGGGGTACGTGCAAGAGTTAGAGGTGGAATCTGGGAGCTCAACATGGTACATGTCGAGCTTGGGCGGTGGGCAACGGGTACGATCATTCCGTCGAACCGCTGGTACCGTTGGAGGAGGTGGAGGACCAGGCATGGGTACAGGTGGTGTGTTGTGCTCACCATTGTCTTCATGCGAGGTACCATCTCCAAGAGTGGTGGAGGACGTTGCATGGGTTGGGGGATTGATGAGGCTCCCATGCAAAGGGGAGAGCGAGGCATGCCCTTCTTCTTTGTGAGGGTCAAGGTCATCAAGGCTGGGCAGTGAGTCCTTGGCCTCCTCGACATGCTCATGCACAAGGGGATCAATGGAAGAAATATCCCCATCAAAGGAAGCATCAAGCACCCGTCGACGAGAGTCATTAGGAGAAGTAGTTTTGTTAACACCGAAATACCATTCGGAAGGAAGGGGAACTCGGTCTCAACAAAATGAACATCTCGGGATGTGTAAATCCTCCGCTCATAGACCTTGTAACCCTTTTGGGAGTGAAGGTTGCCAACGAACACGCCATGACGACCTCGTTCAGCAAACTTTTCGATGCCATGCTGTATATCTTTGGCGTAGACGAGGCACCCAAAGGTGCAAAGATGAGAATATGTAGGTAACGTCCCAAGTAAGACCTCATAGGGGTCTTGTTGTGCATAACAAATGACGGGAGACGATTGATCAAGTACGTAGCTGTCAAGACACACTCACCCCAGAACTTAACCGGTAGCCCCGCATGAAATCAGAGAGCTCTGGCCGTATCAAGTAAATGGCGGTGCTTCCGTTCCACAATCCCATTTTGTTGTGGAGTGTGGACACAATAGGTATGTAGTACCATCCCGTGTTCGGCATAATAATCACAAAGAGTGTTGGTTCGAAACTCCAAACCATTATCTGCATGAATCCGACGTAACTGACGCTGTAACTGAGTGACAACCATCTGACAGAATGATAGAAGATAACGCTCAATATCATAATTATACTTGAGTAAATAAACGCACGTAAGAAAATATCGAGAACCATCCAGAGAAGGGGTCTTATAACCACCCCAAATATCCACGTGAATTGAATCAACAACCATATGTCGTAATAGAACTGGTAACAAAAACTGTGTGAGTTTGTTTAGCCCGCCAAAATGAATCACAATGGGATTTAGACGATGTAATTGTCCAGCAATACTGTTGCATTTGAATTCAGGAATATGTAACACGCGTTGCAAAGTGATGTTATCACTAAGTGATGTGGTACCTATACCCTTTACTGGAATACTAGTGCCATTTGTGTTGGGTATTTGCGGAAGTAATGGTAATTTTGGATCAAGACAAAGGAAACATTTGGTGTTTAATCACTCAATTTAGAAAAACACACTCAACCAAACAAGACTTTAAGTTTTTGGCTCTTGCTATTACAAACACATACACAACCAGATGACTTGGTTTCCTTTTTTTTTATGCTTCTCTAAAACTTTTTATTCTCTCATACATTACATATATATAACTAGCGTGGGCCCCGGCCATTTGGCCGGAGGAAGGTGAGGTATGAAATTTGATAATGTAATGGAGTGTATAGCTTATTGTTGTATAGTTGCTTTTGGAAAACGCGTGATAAAAATAGTGAATTTTAGTAGGAAAAAGACATGAATGATGCAACGAATCAAAAATCAGCATTATGAACCAAAATCAAGTACCTATTACCTCGTGAAACAATATTGTTTCTAGTAATATGATGAGGTAGAGTAAGTTTTATAGAAACCAAATTCCAGAAAATCGAATAAAAAATCGCCTATCCCGACGGTTTTCGGGAAATGAGCATCTCACAATCGTTGCTAGCTTTTACTCGGCCCGTTGGCCGATTAATTTGCTTTATAAAACTTTCAACTTGTCATCATTGTGCTTTCTTGTTTTTTGCCAAGCCATGATAAAATCTAAAGAAATCAAGAATGAACAACAAACACGATTTGGGATATGAACCATTGTTCCTGTATCCCTAGAAAATGGTGGTAAACACGGACTCACCTGCCAAACTGGTTTGGATTGAGATTTTTATCGGGTATCAGGGAACCATGTGATTATAAATTAGACTTGATCAAAACGGGCCAAAACTTGAAATTCAGCATGTTTGACCGACCCATGCCAAACTCTAGTTATTCTTTACTTTTAAACTTTCTATTTGAAAATAAAAAATAATGAAAGAAAAGAGATCACTGCAATTCACCATATGCACATCACTGATTCGGGAATAAAACTATAGAATTTCGAAAGGGAACTGAAAATGTTTAGGATCGTTTTAATGTTAAAAATAACCAAATAGATCTTTCTGTTTAGTTTTTTTTACTAACAAATACCAAACGATTCTCTATAATATACACTATAATTTAATCATTATGATATCAAATAATTACATAATATATATTTGAAATGATAAAAATTGGACTAATTGGGTTGGTCGAGGTTGAACCATTGAATAACTTTAAAATACATTATATTTTAGCCACTAAGATATAAAATAATAGCATAATCTATATCATGCTAGAGAAAATAGCTTGTTTTAGAATGGCAAACCCATGATGTTCATTTGTTTTACTTGATGGGCAAATCCCGTGTAGGTCAGGCCCATTCAACTCTTTTATTTTATGATTAGCGGTTAGCCCATTAGAATCCATGTATTAGTTTATTGTTAAATTTTTTTCTTTTTAGCAAAAAAATGAGTATTGTTTTTGCCTTTTCATATATATTTTACCACCACGGAGAAATTAAAGGACTTAAAGTAAAAAATTGACACTCCTAGACCCGTTTAAATTCGCATGTGTACGGTAAGTTGGCTCGTTTCACAGAGGAAAAAGAAAAAAATTGACACTCCCTATTCTACCCTTCCTACAAACGCTCCTGGAGTAGAGAATTTGAAATAGGGAAAGGGTTTTTTCCTCTCTACGATTATATGTTTTTAATTTAAAAAGAAACAACAAATGTATTTAGTGTGATTGGTTATGATCTTTGCTTTTCTTTAAAGTGGTCATGGTTCGAATCCTAGTAAGTGTCTTTTTAATGAATAAAAAAAAGTAATTGTGAAGACCAAAATGTCCTTCCTACTTTCACTCTCGATGCAGGAAATTTGAAATGGGGCTTCAAGTTTTCTCATTTGGCTTTTATTTATTGTGTAGATGAATATGAAAGAACCAATAACTATTACATGACATTGCGTGTGGACGTGAATGGATAAGCAAACATGGTCTTTAATATATATGTCCCATGCATTATTTCTCATCTAGTTGAGCTTCTCAATTCATTTGCTGGACATGTGAGGTGCCTGCATAATTCACCGGTTATTGAATCTTCATTTGCGTGAAATACTGGATTTTTTGTCATGGCTATGGCTGACATGTTGTCACAATGAATAATGGTTGGACCATTTTCATTTTGATGCTAATTAGAAATTAATCTTTTTAGCCATACCGCTTCGCATGCTGCATTTGTAGCTGCGATATATTCTGCTTCCGCTGAAGATAATGCCACAGTCTTCTGCTTCTTTGAACTCCAGGAAATGGGTTTTGAACCCAGGCAGAATATGTACCCCGATGTACTTTTTCGATCATCGAGTGATCCTACCCAATCACTATCGGTATATCCAGTCAGTTTGCTTTCTGCTTCTTTCTTGTACATCAGGCCCAATTTCTTTGTACCTTGAAGATACCGCAAATTCTTTTTGCTGCTGCAAAATGAAGTTTGCTAGGTTCATTCATAAATCTTGTACTGAATGACATATATGTACAGCTTTCCATCGACTTTTTCAGCTCCATCATTGCGTTGTAATTTCTCGTTTAACGCCATCGGTGTTGAGATTGGTTTGCACGTTGCCATGTGAAATCTTTTCAGCATATCTTTGGTGTACTTCTCCTGTGAAATAAATATTTCTCCAGTTGACTGCTTCACTTGGATCCCAAGAAAATATTTCATGAGTCCCAAGTCCGTCATCTCGAATTCTTTCATCATGGTACTTTTGAATTCTTCGATCATATATTGATTTGTACCTGTATATATCAAGTCATCAACATACAAACACACCATTAGAAAATCTTTTCCTTCTCCCTTTTTTATGTAGAGAGATGCTTCACTCGGACTTCTTTGAAATCCATTCTGCTGAAAATATCGATCGATTCTGCTGTTCCAGGCTCTCGGTGCTTGCTTTAGCCCCTATAAAGCCTTTCGGAGACGATAGACTTTGTCTTCTTCTCCTTTTTTCTCATAGCCTCGTGGTTGTTCCACATAGACTTCTTCTTCCAGTTCTCCATTCAGAAATGCTGATTTGACATCCAGCTGGTATACTGGTAACTCCAGTTGAGCAGCTAGAGCGAGAACTGTTCTGATGGTCTCCATCCTTGCTACTGGTGCATATGTCTCGTGAAAATCAATATCGGGCTGTTGTGAATAGCCTTTTGCCACCAGTCGAGCTTTGTACTTCTGGATAGTACCATCTTCATTGAATTTGATCTTATAGATCCATTTGAGACCTATAACCGGCTTGTCCTCTGGTTGATCGACAAGCTCCCATGTATTGTTTTTCTCGATCATAGAAATTTTTGCATCCATCGCCTCATTCCAAACTTCATCTTTGGCTGCTTCTTCAAAGACTTGAGGTTCACAAGAAAAATATGCAACATGACTTGTTTCATAAATTTCTCGCAAAGACCTTGTTCTCAATGGAGGTGAATCTGAGTCTGTTACGACGTCTCTGAAGTTGTCTCCTTCTGGGCTAGGTGCAGAATTTCTTTCTGGACTAGCAACTGAATCTGGGTCATTGTTGGGGTCTTCTGGAATTGCTGAATCCTCCATAATTTCATAACTTGGTGGAGATTGAGAAATTGGATTTTCTCAATTCCACTCCGCCATTTCATCAAAGATCACATCTCGGGAAACCACCACTTCATTCTTTATTGGATTGTAAAGACGATAGCCTTTGGACTCATCACTGTAGCCGGTGAAGATTAGCTTCTCTCCCTTCTGGTCAAACTTGTCTCGGTTTGGAGTAGAGATGTGTGCATAAGCTATGCACCCAAAGACTTTGAGGTGATTCACTTGTGGCCTCTTGTGGTGCCACACATGTATCGGTGTCTTGTTCCGAACTGCTTTGGTTGGTGATCTGTTGAGGATGTAAATGTTGTATTGACTGCTTCTGCCCACAAGTTGTTGGGAAGCTTCTTGGCTTTGAGCATACTTCTCGCCATCTCCACAATCGTGCGGTTTTTCCGTTCTGCCAAGCCATTTTGTTGTTGTGTGTAACGGACCGTCAGCTGACTTTTGATTCCGTTGTTGCGGCAATACTCCATGAACGGAGTATAAATAAATTCTCCTCCACGATATGTACAGAGAGTTTTGATTTGATGGTTGCTTTCCTTCTCAGCTACTGCTTGGAATTGAAGGAACTTGGGAAAAGCTTCTGACTTTTGCTCCAGAAAGAATACCCACATCATTCTGGTGAAGTCATCTACAAATAGTAGAAAATATCTTTTGCCGCTGAGTGATTGTGTTCGGGTTGGACTGCATATGTCTGCATGTACCAACTCCAATGGTGCTTTTGCTCTCCAAGAAGTTTTAGGAAATGGTAACCGATACATTTTGCCATAAATGCATCCTTCACAGATCTTGTCTTCTCTGTTGATCTGGGGAAGTCCCGCCACCATATTTTTCTGCCTCAGCAATTTGAGGCCCTTGAAGTTGAGATGACCGTATCTGAGATGCCATTGGGAGGATTGATCCAGATTTTCACTCTTGAATGCTACTTCACCATTTTGTGACATAGCAAGAGAGAAAATTCTGTTGGAAGTCATCGGGACTTTGGCTACCATGAAATTGTCAGCTTTGTTGATAATCTCGCAGACGCCATTATCAAACAATAGCTTGTAGATTGAGAGTTAGCTCCGGAACATACAAAACGTCTCGGATGAGAGTTTTGTTACCTTCTTCTGTGCATACAACAACTGTGCATTTTCCTTCCACTTTTAGCTTCTTCCCATCTCCCCATTTGACTTGAGAGTGGTATTTGTCGTTGATGTCGGTGAAGGACTCCAGATCTCCAGTCATGTGGTTACTACAACCACTATCCACCATCCAGGGAAGCTGTGATTTTTGCTCACCATTCAAGCATGATAAGGCCACCATATTGCTTTCTTCATTTTTGGTGCCACTTGACTCGCCATCTTCTTGCTTGTTCTGGAACCAACAATCTCTCTGGGTGTGGTTCTGAATTCTACACTTGGTGCACTTGAATCTGCAGTCTTTTGTTGCATGACCCGCCTTTTTTCAAATTATGCAACTCAAGCCGGTGTAGCCCGATATTTGTTGTTGATAATTTTGTCTGTTGTTTCCTCTGTAATTGGATCTTCCTCTTCCTCTTCCTTGTGATTTTCCCCCTCTCTGGCCTTGCTCCGATTTGGCATATTTACTTTCTGTCAAGTTGACTTTTGACAAGAAAGCTTGCTCCAATGGCGGTTTGGTGAAGCGGCTCATTCTTTGCTCGTGTGCTACAAGTGAGCCCATCAACTCGCTCATTGGTAGATTTGCCAAATCTTTGGTTTCTTCTATCACAGCAACAATATGCTCAAACTTTGATGATAAACTGCGGAGAATTCTCTCCACAATTTTTCTTTCTTCCATGAAGCCACCGGTGGCTTAGATCTGGTTGACTGTCTCCGCCACACGCGAATGGAAGTCTTTGATGGTGTTGGTTTCCTTCATCATCAAGTTGTCGAACTGGCGCCATAAACTTTGACGCCTGATGGAGATCGACTTTTCAGAACCTTGAAATTGTTCACGCAAGACATCCCAAGCTTCTTTGGCCTTTTTGATGCCATAGACTCTCGGGTAAATTGATTTGCTCACTGCTTGCTGAATGATTCTCAAGGCGCTGGCATTTTGCTTGGCATTCTCCTTGTACTCCTTTGTCTGCTTGCTTGATCGTTTCTTTGAGTCTTCATCATCTTCCTGTGGACTTTCATAGCCATCTTGGACTATATCCCACAGATCTTGAGAGATGAAAATTGGCTCCATTTGGGCACTCCATTACTCGTACAATTCACCATCGAAAATGGGAATTTGATTTGAAGAGGTAGCAAACATGGTATGTGATGAAGTTATTGCCATGAGTTTTTGAGTAGATTTGGGTAGGCTATAAAAATGGGGATTTAAGAGGATAGAAGGGTATTAGGCTCTGATACCAAATTTGTTGGGTATTTGTGGAAGTAATGGTAATTTTGGATGAAGACAAAGGAAACATTTGGTGTTTAATCACTCAATCTAGAAAAACACACTCAACCAAACAAGGCCTTAAGTTTTTGGCTCTTGCTATTACAAACACATACACTACCAGAAGACTTGGATTCCTTTCTATTTTTTATGCTTCTCTGACACTTTTTATTCTCTCATACATTACATATATATAATGAATATGAAAGAACCAATAACTATTACATGACATTGCATGTGGACGTGAATGGATAAGCAAACATGGTCTTTAATATATATGTCCAATGCATTGTTTCTCATCTAGTTGAGCTTCTCAATTCATTTGCTGGACATGTGAGGTGCCTGCATAATTCACCGGTTGTTGAATCTTCTTGTCATCAATCAACTAGCCTCTCATGTCATAACCAACTTGCATAATTTGATAGCTAGTTCCAACTAATGAGTTATTGTATGTCTCCTTGAGATGAAAAAGGGGACAACTTTAGATAAGTTTACCATATTGCAAATTACCTTTTTACAATTTGGAATACGAACAGAAGAATAACTCTTAGAACAATCCAAATGACACAACCAACCAGCATCCCTAACAATGTGCTCGTTGCACACAGAATTAATAAGCCATTCATAGAGTGCAGTTGTATTACCATCAATGTGATCAGCGGGATCGGAACTGGTGTACTGAGAAACTGCTTCAATTGTGAAAATTGAGCACCGGTGAGACCCGGAATGGGGCTGTCATCAAAGCTGACCTGCGCAACCCTTGAGGAAGTGTCACTCTGCGGTTTACGAGCAGCTGGAGGTTGATCTCCTTAGCAACCCTTGCCTTGGGCTGAAGGATAATCGATGAGCTTGAAACACTTCTCCACTCTATGTCCCAATTTACGGCAATGACTACAACGGGGTTTATCATTGGGCTTCTTCTCTCCGCTAGTTTAAAATTCAGCAGAATCGATGAGAGAATGACAACCTGCCGTGAGTTGTCATTGGTGTTCCTTCGTCGCCACCATGTGATAAGCTTCGTCCAGGGAGGGATTTGGCCGCATGCTGAGGATTTGTGTGCAAACAACCGAAAAAAATTCATTTAACCCAAGAAGAAAATAAAAAAGCCTATATGTTTCTAGCTTTGCTCGCGTATGCTCAGCGATATCACAAGAACAACCATTGCAAGTACACTTAGGATTGATGCTTACTACCTTTATAAAATGTACTCACCGATTGCTTTTATTGACGAAGCGAGCTGATCAGTCGACGCAGTTCGTATGCTCGGCCTGTCGAGCTCGTTCCAAACCTTTGTTTAAGATAAAGCCTGATTTTTTGCAACATCCGCGCTCCCCTAACGTTATTCCACACCTCTTTATTCATCACGGTCTTGAACTAACATTTAACGAGGGCATCAACACGATCCCACGCATCGTGCCAACAACTGAGGTCCCAACTATCGTACGTGGCAGCGAACCATTAACAAACGCAAGTTTGTTTTTGGCAATAAGAGACTCCATCATATCACTCACCGATTCACCATAATTGAGGTTCGTCAGAAGAACACCACCGAATAGCTGTCTGAGATTCTCTGATGGGTGAGAGAACAACGACGAAGTGAGAGGAATGGCATCGACCCCAGCAACATGATCTTTGGCATCATTGGCAGAACTTTTCTCGTCGCCCATGATTACAGTGAAACGTCATAATAGATCGATTAGAGCTCTGATACCATGTAAAATATGATTCTCACTATGAATGGGAGAATAGAAATCTGCCCATCTGAGTTACAGTGGCCGGCCATACAAGGCCTTCTTCCTATACCCATCGACAAAATGCTAGGGCAAAGATTAGGAGAAAGGAGAAATTACACAATGATCCCCAAATAAATAAAATAAGTAATTGTGACGCAAAATACACGTCAACAAAATCATTGCCGCTCACTAAGAGAATCGATCCGCTCAAGAAAAACCCATAATATTCACTTCAACCACTAATTTATAATGTCGGGTGGGACGATGCCGGAGAATTTTTTGCCATTGAGGTTGAGAATCTTATGCTTCTTGCAGTTGACTATTTTGGAGGGGATTTGGTCAGAGAAGTGGTTGTTGGGAAGGGAGTTCTCCTTGAGCTCTGACGACGACCTCCCCAACTCCCGACTAGAAACACCAAAAACTGCCACCACCGCAGTTCCAATGTGATTTCTCTGGCTCGGACTCGTTAGAGTGCTTCTTTGATCTACTGGATCTAGGTGGCGATGTAGCGGCGAAGGTTTCCCCAATTATGGAGGTTGTAGGGGGAGAAATACGTGGTTGTGTTGGAGCTTTGACAAGCTGGTCGTCATCACCATCGCCGTTGGCATCATTAGCCGCCGCAGTTGTCTCCGCCTCCGTCGTCATCAGTCATCGTCGCCATGGCCACCTCCGTCCGCGGATAGTCGAGAGAAGACGGAGAAAGGAGGTGAAGAAAATATAAATTTTTTTATATTTTGTAATATCAATTTATTTTTGTTACTTTTTAAAATAGTATTAATTTTAATTTAAAAATAAAAATGTGATGTGGCAACCGATGTGGTGCATATGTGGCAGCCATCTATGTACCATAAAACTAATAGTCAACATTTTATGGTTGACCGTCTGGTTAGCTGTTAATTATAACGGTCAACGAAATCGCCAGGACATAAATGACATACAACTATAAATGGTTGAGACATAAATGAAATATTGAATAGTTCGGGACACAAGTTACACTTTTCTGATAGTTTGGGTTTCCTAGTGGTATTTGTCCTAAAAAATAGTAGCGAGGCATGTTTGATAAAATGGCATAGTTAGGGGCATATTATACCTATAACCCCTAAACAATTGGTTGATGCAATAATAATTTTTTTATGCAAATTCTACACTATTCCACGGGAGACACATTGGCAAGTGTTTAAATTGATATAATCTTACTAATTGTGAGTAACTTATTATAAATATTGACTAACTACTTAATGAGTAGTTGGAAGAGCTTTTCCGAGTTTAATTAACTCACAACCCAACTGCACCTATCCGTCACCCACCCAACTCAACCTCAAGAAGAATGTGGGCTGACAGCTAGTCACAATTTCATCAACTCGCTAATATGCGGGTGAGTAAATTTGAGTCCAAAATCCACCCATTGCTGACCCCTGCACACCCGTATTAACGAAATGCACCCACCTGAATTGCAAATCACCATGGAAAGTTAATCGGCGAGGTTCTATGACGAATGCATTTTCATGGAGACAATTTAATACAATCTTTTACCGAATCTAATATCTGATATACTTATCTATTCACAACTAGCACCGGGCCCGGCCCTTTGGCCGGAAAAGTTTAGACAAAAAAATATGTACATATAACATGCTTACAATATAATAAGAAAATAAAACATATAATTGGAGGAAGAAATACAAATGTTCAAAGAAGAAAGGACAACAATCAACATACATAATTGGTTTTCAATACTTCAAAAGGGCGTATAGTTCAAAATTAGAGTTGCTTCCTCTAAAATATACATAATGAACCCTTATGAGAAAAGAAAAAGACTGGTCTCTGATAGAGTTCAATATTTGTCCACAGTGTTTATCCCAATAGACATTGAGCTAGTTTGGCTCTGCTATAACTTTTGCAAAAGCAGCTTCTGGTTTGAGCTTTTAGAGAAGTATTTTAAAAAAAACAGTTTAGTGTTTGGCTGAAAAACTATTAGAAGTGCTTTTTAATATAAGAGGTTGTGTAAAACTATTTAACAAACTTATAATATAAAATAGGGTTAATACCCTAGTTTGGCCCGAAGTTTGACGTAAGTGACAGTTCTTGCCCTATTTTTTGAATAAGACATTTATGGCCTACTTTTGAAATTATTGGACAAATTTAGCCCAAAATTTTCTTTGACCGTTAATATTAATGGTCAAACACGATTATGTTAGTGACTCAGCAAAAAATTGTCGATGTGGCATGCCAAGTCATTAAATAATATTATTTTAATTTTATAATTCAATTAAAATAAAAAATTAAGGAAAAACCCTAAACTAAATCTATATCATCGTCAACAGGAGGGAGGCGCCTCCTCCTTCTTCGTCGACCACTGTCGCCGTGCTCCAACCATTCATTTTTCTATCTCTTCCATCCCTCTCTTTCTTCTCCTCGTTACTCCTTCCGCCATCGCCGCCAAAAGCGAGAACCCACCTGCGTACGTCCGGGAAGGAGGTTTCGGGTCGCCCTTGTCGCCACCCGAACCCCGATGATGAGGACCCATCAATCTGTGATGTTGCCCAATGGAGGGGCGGTAATTTCTCATACCACGACCAAGTCAAGAAATATCTCCAGGCTCTCAACTTGCAGGAATGTCAGGTTCAGGCTGTGGAGACGATCGACCTCGCTCCGGCAGTCGCAGAAAAGAGCAGCGGAGCTCCGAGTTCCAGAAAGTCTTGCACGGTGGCGGCGCCGTCTCGATTTCGACGGAGAATCTTCTAGTGTTGCCGATCAAGTGCAGGCGGCGGAGTCGGAGGAGGAAGTGGCGGAACTTGGGCTCCACAGGTGGCAGATCTTCATGAATTTTTCTCTTTTCCCTTTGAGCAGCACCCATGTGTTCAGGGTTTTGTTTGGAATTTCTTTGATTTTGGGCTTCTCTTAAAGGAAAAGAGGAATTGGTGGATGACTGGATGGGAAAGTTAAAAAGTAGCGGAAGAAGAAGAAGAAGAAATTGTAGTAGTTGGGGGGTTTTGGGAAGGAATGGGAGAGGCGGCGGAGCGGTGGTTGTCGGAGAAGGAGGAAGCGCATCCCTCCTGTTAACACGATGAGGTTGATTTAGTTTAGGGTTGTTTATCTTAATTTCTTAATTTGTATTTTAATTAAATTAAAAAATATATTATTTAAAGACGTGACATGCCACATCAGCGATTTCTTGCTGAGTCACTAACGGAATAGTGTTTGACTGTCAATATTAACGGTCCAAGAAAATTTTGGGCCAAATTTGTCCAATAGTTTCAAAAGTAGGTCATAAATGTCTTATTTGGAAAATGGGGTCAGAACTGTCACTTACGCCAAACTTCGTGCCAAATTGGGGTATTAACCCTATAAAATATGAATAAAAATTCTAAAGAATAAAAAGTAGTTAAAATGGATCTTGCTAGATTTCTTTTATATTAAATAATATGATTTTATAATTTATTTTATTTTTAAAATAATATAGATGAAAGAAAAATATATTTTCCGAAATAAAATTAAAATATGGTAAGGATAATGTTGTATTTTCAAAACAACTTTTTCCAGAAGCTCCAAATTGGAGCTTCTTCTTTTATGTTATACAAAATCGCCTTTTCGCTTTTAGAGGTGTTTGGTCCTGTTTCAGCTTTTGAAGTCTAAAAACACTTTTAAAAGCCGTGCCAAACATAGGCATCATCTTTGTGCATCACAGCACGGGGCAATTGATATGAATTGGATGATTT